TGGCCCTTGGGAAGATAGAGAGTTCCCCAGCCAAGGGAATTCCAGACCTCATAGTGCTGTCAGAAATGATGAGCAGGATGGTTTCAGAAAAACCTGGGAAGACACATGTGAATTAATGCAGAATGAAATGAGCAGAACCAGGAGATCATTGTACACAGTAACAGCAATACTGTAATGATGATCAACTGTGAACACCTTAGCTACTCTGATCAACAGTGACCCAAGACAATTCCAAAAGACCCATAATAAAAAATCCTGTCCACCTCCAGAGAGAGAGAACTTATTAACTCTGAGTGCAAATTGAAGTATAATTTTCCCTTTCTTTTTTTTTTTGCCTTTTTTGTGTGACATGCCTAATATGGAAATAAGTTTTGCATGATTTCACATGTATAATTGATATCATATTGCTTGCCTTCTCAATGAGTCATGTAGGGATTGGAGAGAGAGAATTCAAAATTAAAAAAAAATAAATTTGAAAAAATTTATTTGCGAGGATAAGACTATCTATGTCTGGAAACTTGCTTCTGCTGTCCAGAGGTCTGTCTTTTTGTTTCTATACACAGGCTGGTTATAGTGGCTTTTGACCACCTACCATGGGATACCCTGCCTAGCATTCATAATGGGCCAGTCAATTCCTTTATTATCAGGAGACTTTCCTGCCACCTTTAACAGGTTGCCTAATTAACATATCAGGATCTGATCCCCACAATTCCTTATTATCAATTAAATGTACTCCCTCTGGCCAGTAACCAACTTTGCCTCAATGGGACTGATTTGGTCTTAGGCCCTGGCCCTATCTAAGGGTTGGGGAAAGTGGACACTACCCTGGTTCTGTTCTGGCCTCCCTTTAAGTCACATGTATAAATATATACACTATCCCCCTTCAATTCTATGGGCTCTTTTTATTCCTTAGATTTGACCTGTTTCCCTTCAGCCCTTCTCTGGTTAGATTATTTTTGAAGGTCTTTTTGCTGAACAAAACTCTTTTCTCAAAAATGTTTTCTCCTTTGTTTTAGATATAAATGGAGAAAGGTTAAACTTAAAATACATATGTGGTTACATTTCCATTTCTTGCCAGTGACCAGGCAGCTAAAGCAATTATCCAGACAGACAGATTCAGTAATGAAAAGAGAGGGGTAGAAGAGAGGATTCAGTATGAGTTTCTCAGCATCCTTTTCCAATATTCAGATTGTCAAGAGTATGTTAAAGATTTGATGGTATGCTAACCTTGATTGCCAGGGAAAGATTTCCATTTCTATCACACGTTATATAATATGCTAAAACCTACATTTGTGATTTTAAAGAGGAAAATCTGAGTTCAAATTTTACCTTTAACAATTGTTGGCTATATAAATGTAGATAAATCACTTAAACTCAATGAGTTTCAATTTCCTTGTGCATAAATTCGAATATATGCAGGATTTGTTTGTAATTTGTAATCACTGTTTGTAATTCCTGATATGGGAACTCCCTATGCCAATTACAGATCTAACCCAACTCATCCTAACATAGAAAATAAGTCTTATGGAATTTCCTGAGGAACATAGAGGTTAAGTGACTTGCCTAGGGTCACACCACTAGGAGGAAAAAGGGCAGGATTTGAATTCTGGTCATCTTGACTCCTAGCCTAGTATTCTATTCGTTACTTTATACAGTCAGTTGTAATCAGGGGTTAATAATATTTATTTGAAATATCTACCTATCTGGGTTGTTTTAAGCCTCAAATCAAATGATGTATATAAAGTGCTTTGCCAACTTTAAAGTGTCATTCAAATGAACCATTGAATAAATTTCATAATCTTCATCTTCCTTCAAGGATCAGCTCAGATGCTGACTCCCCCTTCTCGGATCTCTCATTTTTAGTGCTTTCTTTTGGCTTAGTTGTTACTACACTGCTTAGTCTAATCTCTTCCTAGTCACCTTCACATCCTACCTTGTATTATATTCATCTGTGTACAAGCTTTATCCTTCTAGGAGAATGTAAGTTTCCTGAAGACAGATACTGTTGTGTTTTTGTCTGTCCTGCTTGGACCTAACATAGTGCCTTGAAGATAGTAAGTCCTTAATAACTGTTTGTTGGGTTGAATTGATTCTTCCCCTAGTTGGTGGTTTTATTTAGGAGAAGAAAAAAGAATGGACTCATCTGACTCTAGTATTCTTGTTAAAATAAGTAAAGTTAGTTACTAATAAAGGCAATTTTTATAATTTAAATAAGAAAATATCATTCCTGATACTGTCAGGAAAATCACAGATTTTCTTCTCATATAATCAATATTCTTCTCATTTCTTCTCAAGCGACTCCTTCCTAGAATATGTTTGTCATCTCTCAGATCATCTCTTAGGGATCTTGATTCACTTTTGATGGTTTTCCTTCTCTCATCTGCCTGTAACCTGGCTTTTGGTCTTGCCACAGAAAGACAGAGAAGGCCAGAAGTCTGTTCAAGTTTGAGGTGAGAGGCCAGATCACAGGAACTTTTAACCTTGAACTTGATCAGGCTTCTGGGCCCCTCAAGGCTTTCTTGTCATTGTCCCTGTAAGTGGGACCAAAAAGCAGATTATTCATCCAAGCTAAAATACATTTCCAATTGATAATTCTAAACAATCCGCTTTTAGCCACAGTCCTCAGCAGAAGAGGAAACCTATACTAATTTTGGAAGTGATAATAAAAGACCCACATATAACTTTCCATTTCTCAGATTATTTTGGGGAGCGAATCTCTGATAATTCAGAAGGAAAAGAAAATATTTTTCTCAAAGTGAAATTCTCCTTCACTTCTCCTACTTTCTCCCAACTACAACCTCACATTTCCTGCCCTTGACAAGCACTCCCTTAGAAGAGGGAACATAAGGTGCAATCTCAGGAATTTCTGCTTCAAAAGTGTGTTTGACTCACTCACTGGATGGGTGCTGCCCTGTATCAGAGTTTCTAAAAAGGCCCACTCCCCACACAGTCCCTCAGAGAGAGGTTCTGCAGGACAGCTTTTGTTTTGCATGCTACCTGGAGAAACTGAAGACAGTAATAACCTGTTTCAGGTTCCTTAATGAATCAGGTAACGAGCTTAGTAGGGACTGGGCTAGATCTCTGACACAAGGGAGGTAGCTCCCCATGGCTTGTTTGTAGGTTAGGACCTGAGATTTCATTGGTGAAAGGAACTTGTGGTGAGGACACTTTTCTATCAATAAAGACCCCCGATTTTCTACAACTAATAGTCTTAAAGAAGGGGATCTCAACCTGGGGGCTATGGCCTTATTAAAAATTTTTTTTTGGATAACTGTTAGTATAATAAGTTTCATTTGTCATCTTAAGTATTTTATTTTATACATTTCAAAACATTGTTCAGGGGCAGCTAGGTGGCATACTGGATGGAGCACAGGCCCTGGAGTCAGGAGGACTTGAGTTCAAATCTGGCCTGTCACTTACTAGCTGTGTGACCCTGGGCAAGTCACTTGACCCCAATTGCCTTCAAAAATTAAAAAAAAAATTAAAAAACATTATTCTAAGAACAAATCTACAGGCTTCATCAGATGCTAAGAGGATCTAGAAAATGAAAAAGATAAGCAATCCTATCTTAGAGAAGTACCTTGGACATTGAGAGGTTGAGTGATTTGTACAACCAATCTATATTAGAGTCAGAACTTGAACTCGGCTCTCTCTATCTGCTGGATCATGTGGTCCCACTCTCCCACAGGTAAGTACTAAAAAAGACCCCAAGTTCGCATACATATGTATATGCATATATGTGTGTCTATGCATGTATATGTGAATATATGCATGTATATGTGTATGAATATATGTGCTGTGTATATGCATACATATATATGTATATTGTATCTATAAATATACACACTTATGTATGTATGCCTGTGCAAACATATGTGTGTGTGAGCATGTGTGTGTATGTGTACATATATTGTGTTTACTTATTTCTATTGGTTGTGTATATCCTTAAAATCCTACTATTGTCACCAAGGCCCAGCCTCTCCCTTTATACTCTTCTTCCCTGGGTTAATGGCCTTCCTGGACTTCTTTTTCCCTTCAAGGCTGCTTTTAATGTTCATTTTACACTGATTTTACTTGTATCAGATTATATCAGACCATGTGGGAGGGGTACACAATGTGTGTGTGACTTCCAATGTGGCAACTAGGTGGCACAGTGCATAGAATGCCAGACCCAGAGTCAGAAAGACTCATCTTCCTTAGTCCAGATCTGGCCTCAGACACTTCCTAGCTGTGTGACCTTGGGCAAATCACTTCATCCTGTTTGCCTCAGTTTCCTCATCTGTAAAATGAGCTGGAGAAGGAAATGGCAAACCACTCCAATATCTCTGCCAAGACAACCCCAAATGAGGTCATGGAGAGTCAGACACGACTGAAGCAAATGAACAGCAGTTAACAACAAATCACGTCCCTCCAGATCTTCTGTTTCCTAGGCTCAATGCCCACAGCTCTTTCAATGAATCCTCCCATGGCGTGATCTCAAGGCCCTTCACTGTCCTGGTCCCTTTCCTCAGACACTACCCCGTGATCAGTTGCCTTCCTCAAAAGGGCTCTCTTGAACTGCACACAGGTGAATTCTCTTACGGTCTTGCCGTGAATACTTCAGTGAGAGGCACGAAGGCTGTTCTACTGCTGCCTCGTCTACAGCCCTCGAGCCAGCTTCGCTTCAACATTCCATCCGTGTCCCTGCTGCCATTTTAATGCTCTAGTAATGGCAATGGAGGAAGGGTGATCGCTTAATTATTTAGTTTTAAGACACAATAAATTCTCCTGTAAGCACAGGGAAGTAAATGAAGGTATTGAGAGCATAGGCATTTTCAGGTTTCCTAAAATTGCTATTAACAAGCACTCTATGCTTACAAAAGAGTTTACAACAACTCAAGCGGAAAACCGATGTACAGATGTCACATTTCTCTTAAACACTGTCCATCGTGTGTATGCATACGTATATACATAAGTAGAAAACCCAATATACATATCATAGGAACTCATGGATCATTTACCTTTAAGAGACGACTCATTCTTTCTTCCTTGTCTTCCAAGTGCCGTAAACTTGGGGGGATATACCAGAAGCAGACATTTGTGTGCTGAGGCTACATGGGAAAATAATCAAACAAGACTTTGTTTCATAATTAATATTTAAAGTAGGTTAGTACCAATGACTGCAAATCAGCGTTCTTTGATTTACACTCTATGAAACACCTACTGATGACTGATATGTTAACAGTGAATTTATTTAATGAATGAATGACAGGATATGCTATATGTATGATATTTGTAATAAATTGGGAGATCCAGATATGGTGGCGCACATCTATAACCCCCATTACTAGGAAAGCTAAGGTTGGTGAATCTCGTGCGCTTAGGAATGTTGAGCAGCAATGGGCTATGCTCATTAGGTGTCTGCACTAAGTTTGGCATCAATATGCAAGTCCATCAGAAATGGTGAGGGGCTACCAGTTTGCCTAAAGAAGGGACAAACTGACCCAGGTCTGAAATGGAGCAGGTCAAAGTTTCTGACAATCAGTAGTGGAAATGGGCCCATGAGTAGACCCTGAACTTCCAGGGTGAGGTAGAGAGATACAGTTTTTATGTTTTGTTTTATTTTGTTTTGGCTAGGCAGTGGGGTTAAGTGATTTGCCCACGTCACACAGCTTATAAGTGTCAAGTGTCTGAGGCCAATGCTCTACCCACTGCACCACCTACCTGCCCTGAGATATACAGTCTTTAAAAAAATCAGGAGACATCAACCCAGTAACATATCTCTATAGCCTCAATCTATTTGTCCTATAAATATAGCATGGGGAGTTGATGTGAGATACCTATATTGAGTAATGGACTTGCATGTCTATATGGCATAGGGAAAAACTATTCCAGAATTAATGGGTACAGAAGGGGTAGAAATTAGAAAAACCACACTGGAAAACTGGAAAACAGACTATACACTTTTCCCTGTTTCTCTTCCTATATCTAATTAGTTCACAAGACCTATCAATTCACTTTCATATCTCTCTCCATGTCTGTCCGTTTATTTTTATTCTTACTGCTACCATTCTAGACCCTCATCATATCTCATCTGGATTATTGTGATGGCTTCCTAACTGGTTTCCTTGATTCCAGTCTCTCCCCTATCTAATCCATCCTCCATAGCTAATGAAATGATATTCCAAAGGCACAGGTATGGCCATGTTACTGTCCTGATCAAAAACCATTTCGTGACCCACTGTTGACCCCAGGATAAAATACAAACACAAACACAAAGCCCTCCATTTAACACCCTTTACAGTCTGACTCCACCTTACTTTTTCAGGGTGCTAACAGTGTCAGGGGAGGAAGGGGATGTGGAATAAACAGAATTTAGCAACTGATTGCACATGGAGGATAAGAGAGTGTGGAGTCCAAGATAACCTCTAAATAAGAGTTTTTGTAGCCCCTGCATCTCATGAATATACCATTAAAGTGACCATTCTGGATCATGGAAACTACCATCGCACACGCTGCTTCCCAGACATGATTAACACAAGACACAGACAATTTATTATTTGGAGCAAAGTCAGGATTAGGTAAATCAGAGGACAGCCATACCTTCCCATCAAACACCATTTCATATCCTTCTCTGTTTTTTATAAGATTGTATAAATACTCTGCCAGCTCCAAACACTTGTCAATTTGTGCTTCAAATCCGGTGGTCCCCTAAGAGAAGGAATGTAAAGTTTAGTTAGTGCCTGATGGGGGAAAATGGAGCTTTCAGTTCAAGCTAGAAATAGTCCATGCAGATTCCAGAAGCCAGACTCCTACTTTACAGCCTCTGTAACACTTTCCTCTCAAGTTTTGTTTCTGGAGCCCCTGGAAATAGCCTTGCAAATATATAAAATAGGCAGTGTGGTACAGTGGAGAGAGCTCTGGATCTGGAGTCAAAGAATCTGGGTCCAGATCCTAGCTTTACAACTAACTAGCTGTGTAGCTTTGAGCAAGTTGATTAGTCTTGCCGGGCCTCAGTTTATTCATCTGTAAAATGAAGGGGCTGGATTGGATGCTTTTAAGGACCCTACCCTATCTGCACCTATGATCTTAATTCTAAGTAGCTTTGGTCTCCTATTGATTAACCCTAAGACAGCACACTCTAGAGAATGGCTTTTAAAATGATTTCTCTCCTTCATCCTTTAACATTTATTGAGTGCCAATGGAATGACTTAGAAAATAGCTACTACCCATAACAGGAGCACTTAACGTTTTTCTAACAATAATTAAACCGAGGTGGATAACTCAAAGTGATAACTTTCCTGTTTATAGTCTAATTTTATGTGGTCTGGCTGGGAAAAGACAGAGATATATGTCATTGTCTCTTAACAAATGAAACACAGTCTAAGTCAAGGGGATGTGACATCTTATATTCTGCAGAATGCTCCCTCAACCCCTCAGATCCAGGATAATACTGGGTTCTAGTTTAGCCCTGGTGGAACACAGGGTTTTAGCCTACCTCTGGTGTGCTCTGGTCTGCCATCATTAGATGTTCTGATTGCTTAGGATTAATCTAGAAATGGGGGTCCATTTAGCATGGACCTTGGGATGGCCAAACGTTTCTCTTACAAGCTGGAACTTTGGACCACTGTGGATGGATGTGAACCTCAAGAAAATCAGCTCTAGGGCTATAGACTGGTTATAACCAGGACCAGGATGAGTCAGTAATTAAGGGAGGAAGATTAGGCTTCAGAATTAGTCCTGTTCCTGTTTCTGCCATTAACTCATTGTGTGACCCTGGCCAAATCATTTAACCTCCATGGGCCTAAATTTCCTTATTCATTAAATAGGTAACACTTTACTTACCATAAAGAAATATTTGCTACAATTGGTAAACTTTGGATGAAATCAATCAACTAACATTTATTAAGCACCTACTTAGGCACTGGGGTAGAAGTAAAATTGTCTTGGCACTCAAGGAACTTACATTCTAGCATTTTAATTAAATATACAAACACTAATAATAATATTATAAATATAATATAATATATAAAATTATAATATAATAAAAAATAATTAAAATAAATAATTAAAATATTTTAAAAGTTTTTAATATGTCCTTTTTTCTGACAAGCTGTGGGAAATGATGTCCTATGACACCAATATATGACTTGCATATTTTCCTATGAGCATTTTTCAAAAGTTCTAGAATTAAAATAAATTTTGAGTTAGGAGAGACCTCAGAGGTCATCTAATTGAACCCCCTCACTTTACAAATGAGAATGGTGAAGTCCCCAAACTACGTGACTTGCCCAAGGTCATATGGGTAGTGAGTGGCAAAGCTAGGATTCAAACTCAGATCCTTTGACTCCAAAGCCAGCATAGTCACTATGATGATAATTCAAATAGAAAGCAGAAGAATATTAGGTCATTACAAGGATCCTGAAGGCTTAATAGGGAGTGTCCACCCTCCTACTGATTATAAAAAAAACAGTGACAGAGAGGGCACGAGCCAATGGAGCACATCATTGCCCCAAGGTTTTTGATATAACTGATGAAGGTCAGCTAAAGACCAATTCTTCTCAGCTCCTTCTCATGGAATAAACAGATTCTTAGTCTGGGAGGGTCCAATTGAAAGCTCCCTATGTGCCCAGTTAGTCTGTCTTAGTAAGAATTCGTGGAACAGTCAGGTGGCTCAGTGGATAGATCACTGGCACTGGAGTCAAGCAGACCTGAATTCAAATCCTGCCCCAGACATGTACTAGCTGTGTGACCATGGGCAAGTCACTTACCCCCAATTGCCTCAAAAAAGGAGGAGAAGGGGAAGGAAAAGGGGAAGGAGAAGGGAAAGGAGAAGGAGTAGGAGAAGAAGAAGAAGAAGAAGAAGAAGAAGAAGAAGAAGAAGAAGAAGAAGAAGAAGAAGAAGAAGAAGAAGA